CAAGGAGTGAATAGGGAGGCTGTTTTTTGGGCTAGTTTTTAATTTTCTTTACATTCCCTGTGTTTTCTGTTTTTGGGGAGCTAAGTTATTTTATCTCCCTTTGTATTCTTTTCCCTCTATTCTCTTAATTTAATGAAGTTGATGTTATTGATCAAAAAAAAAAAAACACTCAAAAACATAATAAAATTTGGACTCACATAACTACTGTGGTCCCCATCTCCTATCTAACAACTGACATAAAACATCTACTCAGAAAAACATCATAAAACTAATTAATCTTCAACAATAAGAAACCCAAAAAGAAGAGAAGTGATCAGTAATTTTGTCAAAAATTACAGAATTAAAACTCTGATACTTCAAGAAATGAAACTAGAGGAAGTGGAATGGAGAATTATAAGTGAGACATGGCATTCAAGAAATAGGGATTGGGTGATGTAGGGTTCAGAATGTTTGTCAGGAGAATTGATCTCTATTTAGGAAGCAGGATTGCTGAACAAGGTTTATTTTTTGCCAGAAGATTTCTCTATTCTTCAATTGTTGGTTCAATGTAATCTTGTGAAAGCCATTTAGGCTTACTTCCTCAAGCTTTTCAATGTGGTTGGATGATCACCAATTGATTCTGCTGAGATCTTTGATTGCTGACCAAGAGTCCTAGGAAATCCTAAGTCTAAAATCATTTGGAGTTGCATCCCCTTTGCCATTTATTGGGAGGTGTGGAACGAAAGAAAAGAATTTATGAGGGGAAGTTGAAAAGCGTTGAAGAAGTTGGGGCAGCAATCAACTCAAAGTTGATTGGGTGTTAATTCTTCCAGAATTTGAAGGCCTCAGGAAAGAAGATTTTGGAGCCAGATATTTGGTGTACTTTAAATGTTTAATTCGTTTTCTTGTATCTTGAATTAGTGAATCTTTTTTTATTTTCTGGACTTTTCAGTTGTTGGGGGTGTCTCCTTTTCACCAAGATATATTTTTTTTTATCAGCAGGAAAAATTTTATCAAATCAAACTTAGAAATTACAAGGAGTCACCAAGCTGGTGAGTCCTTGTCGCCGAGTTGATGTATTTTTTCTTATCTTTAGCAATAAAATTTTCTTCTTTATTTATCTTCAAAAAAAATCCTATTTATAGTTTATCCATAAAAAAAATACTTTTGTTTTGGAAAAACCTCATTAAAAAACACTCAAACACCTTGAAGTTTGTAATATCAGTCATGGTCCTACTTTTAGGTAAGATATAATAATAAATAATATAATGAGATTTCTTCTTAAATAAGACTATAGCAGAAGGATGAGCAGAAACTGTTGTTGGTTGCGTAGTTTTAACATCATTTGCTTGAACAACTTTTGGCAAGTTCTGTTCTGTATCGAGTGAGAAAATAGAAGGCAAGAGCAGGATAGCAGGATCTAGGAGTAGGTGTTGCCAATACACTGCATAATAGACTGTTTGAGTTTCCAAAAGGATGAAATAGAGATGTAATGATGGGCCTTTAAATGATGAAACCATTTCTAGATAAAGGGTATGGAAATAAATAAATAAACTCTGAATCATGTGAAGCTTAGTATTAAGTGTTATAGGAGAGATTAATCTCTTCGTGTCTGAAATTTCTGAAACATAAAAATGTTAGTGTATTTATTTCATGAAAGATGTCCTCAAGTAGAACAATCAAGTTATACATTGGTACTGATGGCGGGAAGATACTGGGATCCTACAAATTGCACTTTTAGTAGTGGCCTTTTCTAGTGCGAAGGTAATTTGGGTGATTAACAATAAAGACTAGAGATGGAAAAGCAAGTATGCAGCTTGCTGTCCACTAAAACATGAGCATGAAATTAGATTCCAGTAATGAAGCATTTTAGAACTACGAGGAGGAAAATCTTACTATTAGAACATACAACAGAAAAATAGATCGCTTGGAAGAAATAACAAGAATTTTCTAAACCAAACTCCTATTCTACTTATCTGAAATAAATAAATAAAATAAATCTTTGTTCATAAGATCAACTCTTCAAATTTTTAGTACATTGTGTATAGACTTGACACAAAGATCTCCCTATACAAACTCCATTTCCAACTCAGAAAGTAACAGCAACAACTACTAAATTCTAATTGTTTTACTACTAAGACTAGCCCATATATATCATATCCATAAAAGCACTTAAATATGGACTCTTAACTCCTAAACCAACTGTAAATAGCCATTAGTAATCCTACTAAAACTAAATAGACCAAAAAGTAAATTCTTTAGAGTTAAGATACATCTAAAAATAGAAATTATCTAATTCTGTCATAAACATATGCCATATCCTCAGAATGGCCATTACTTTCCCAAATAAATCAGATTGACAAGATTTTGATCTTGTTTGGTTGGTAACAAAATGCCTATCGTATGGCACCAAGATCAATTTAAACAGACAAGTTTTCAACCCCTTAAGCTTGGACTGCAATACAATTGGCGTGACTTGTACCCCGAGGGCCGAGACCATTATTATCTTGACCTCTTTTTAGATCTAGGATAGTGGAAAGTGGAATCCATAGGAGCCTCAACGCATGGAAACCCAATTTTCTTAGGGAAGTTCCAAATCATAAACCTAATACTTTTTTTTTATCTCCTTTTGATTTATTGGTCTATTTCATTCTCCCCTACTTGACAAAAAAGTGTCATTGAAATACCAAACTAAAAATGTCTTTTTTTTTAAATAGAATGGAGTATTGACTAACCAAAACTCACAATACACTTTTTTTTGTGTCAACCTTGCATAATACCAATGGTTTCTAGAGAAAGGCAAGCGCTAGGTGGAACAAATTGGCAAATATAAGTTGAGAAGTTGGATATTTGATATTTTTTCTTCTGAAAAATGCTAGAAACTTGATTTATAGATACTGAATTATATGCGTTCAGGTGCGGAAATTGGAGGCTTTTCTGGTGAAAAATTGGTGTCAGAGGGGATTCAAGCCCATTAATCACAGTTTACTACCAGAAGCCACGCAATGTATTAAAGATCCACCCTCATTGTAAGAGAACATTGTGTATATGCATGTGCAAAATCAGTTTTTGCTCGCGTTCTACACTCTCCTGAGCTGAACAAATTATATTTGAATCAAGTTTCGGGAATAAAACCTAAATTTCTCAAAATGGTTTAAGTAGAAACTGTTTTGTAAAGGGTGAAAGAAGAAAATGAAAGCTACAGATTTGACAATTAAATGTTTGATATGAAATTACGAATCTTCATCCATGTTTAGGATTGGCAGTGTAAGACGGTATTCGGTGTCAGTGTCGCTTATTTAGGCAAAGTTTCAATCTTGGAATTAGTAAAGCAATTGGGTACATGGTGCTGTCAAGGTATATGGTTTCAGGAAAAACCACAATACCAAAGACAAAGACCTACAAAAGAAGAAATTCTGGTGATTTAAGAATCAGTGATATCGTGTATTGTGTTTGTTAATGCAAAAAAGATGGTAATAATAGACTAATAGTGATATGGTTTGAAATGATTACTACTTGTTTGAGAATTGAGAGAAAGAGAGGAAAGCGGTGGAAAGAAAAGTTGCTGAAGGGTTCACTTTCTTAACAGAGAGCTCCAGTATGTTAGTTGATGATCCCACTAGAGTGTGGGACGTTAGAGTTGCAGGGTTCATTCTGAATCAATATGCATGCGATTGCTCACGTGTGATGGATCCCTTGTGGTTCTCTAACTGGTACTAAAAAAATGTTTCCCATGTGATTGGGTTGCTGAGGGTTTTTCCATTTTAACGATCTAGTAAACCCATGCAATGCCTGGAGTTGAAAAGAAAGTTGCTAAGAGGCTTTGGAAAAAGATTTTACGTACATACCCATTTAATTAAGAAGTGTTTGAGAATTCTATTTAACCTAGGCCTCAAGGTCCATGTCCAGGGATAATCTTGGTTTGGTCCCAGGGTGCACATAAGGCCCACTGACCAACCTATCTAATTCATACCCCTGCCATATTAAAAAGTGAAGGGATTTAAAGAGTTTTTTTTTTGGCAAAGGATTTAAAATGATTTAAGATGAGAGATTTAACGGGAGGGAGAGGTTAGAAACATTAACCATCAAGGCGGGGGGAAAGTAAAAGTTTTACTAGAGATAACAAAAATGCTAGATGGCTCATGATTTTTATAATTTTAATTTAAAAATAATAAAGCACATGAATAAGAAAGGAATATCAATACGCTGTGTATTGTATGATACGAATTAGTTAAACCTTGGGGGCATGCTTTGAACCTTGGGTTGCAGGGGGTTTCTCATCCATAAAAGAAAATTTATTGAACACTCAAAATCCTTGGAGAGGGTCACGCCTCTGTGATAGTAAGCACTTGCAACAGTTCCTGGTAAACTCTGGGCCGTGGCTAACGGAAATTGGTGGGGTATCATCATACAAGGGTAGATGACTTGATGGTGATTTTGTGTGGGGAATTTAGCGAGCTCATGGAAATGGCAGATTACTAGAAATTCTGGTCCTTCCTCTTGGGTGTTGGGAATCCCCAAAATTGGCGCATCAAAGGAGATTGGACTAATACAATCCTTAGAGAATGGAGAAAAGTACATTAGTTCAATGATATTGTACAAATTATATTTCATATGTTAGCAAGATTACATAGCTGATGGGCTCTCCAGATCAGAACTCTGACGTGGAAAACGCCTCCTGTATGGCAATTACCCTAGCTCCTTTTTTATGGTATTCCAGGATACAGGACGGATGTCTGACACTCCCTCGAGCACATTTTATAGACTAGTAGTCTAGTACACTACAATGAAATAAGCATTGATTTTCAGAATAAATAATAAATAATAAAAAAAAACTTTCTATGCCTACACATAAAAACGAACTTCTAAAGCTATGGCCCTCGTCCGCCCATGGAAATGTGAAATCTCAAGAGGACAAAGCATAAACAGGGGTTTCAAGTCAGACCCAAAAAATAAACACAGGAGTTTAAGGCTTTAAACAAATGGCGGGCTATTGCCTTCAAAAAAATGAAGGGTCCCATGTTTTATCATTTAGTGATGTAACTATTTAAGGTTTGAGAAAGCATGGGCTACAATTCGGCCATTAAAAAATATACATGCATACAGTATTTACCAAGGTAGCGATGGGAGATGGTGAGTTGGTGACAAGTTGAGTAACAAATAGATCTTGAATTTCACGAAACTTGATTCGCTGTCGCAGGGCAGGAAATGGGAACTACCATGTTCCAGAAAGAGAATAGAAGCAACCATTTTATCCAGACAAACCCGGAAGAGAGGACCATGTTAATTGAGTAAATAATGGTTTTCTGCACTGCCAAATTAAACTTTTCTTGCTCTGTTATAACTGGCAGCTGGACTCCTCACATAAGCACGTTAAAACTTCCCATGAAAGTAGTTCACTCCAAGTTCCAACCAGTCGGTTCCTCTTCACTGCCTCTATCCTCGTTTGCAGAAAGATGCGAGTCAGAATACCTTGGTCATATAACAATGAAATCAATTATAACAATCAAAATCGATGTACAACACATACCTGATTGAATTGAGGGAGGCAATGGAAAAACCGGCACATTTGATCATGCACAAAGATCAAACCTGTAAGTGATGAAATTTCAATGTCAAAAAATATGAAAATATTCCTCAGGTTGCAGAAAAAGTAACGTTTAGAGTGTGAGATAACACATAAAAATTACCCCATGGGAAGAGAAATTCATAATAATGATAATTCATAATAAAGGAACAGAGACGCTTGGTCAATGACTTGATTTTAATCTAGTAAGACAAGAATTAGGAACTAAGCACATTAAATAAAAAATGATAATTCCGACTAAAAACAAGATGGCTATATAACCAAAAAATATAAAAAAACAAATGCTCTCAGCTTTAAAAAAAAACAAGTGCCACATGCTCCTAATGCATAACAAAACTGATGCATGTGTAATAAAAGTTAAGCTGCAGGATATACACAAATACAATTGAAAAGTCCAACGGAGATATCCCAAGTATCCTAATAAAGCACACCTGAAATAAAACTAAAGAAAGAAATATCTAAACCACCACCCTAGACATTAAGATATTCAGGAATAACACATCATGTGAATACAAAAGCCATACTTAGAGTCCCAAAAACACATGAACAGCTACAGATGTAGCAAGCAAGATGTGACACATGAGAGCAAAAATACAAATACATTTTAAGCTATAGACAGAACTCTCTATAGACATCACATGTGATGCACAAGAGGAAGTAGTATTTGAAAAAACAAACAAAAAAAAAAGCTAACTATATGGATCTAGTTTTACCATTCTGTTCTATTCAGAGCCAATATCCATTGCTAAATTACGGGTACTTGAATCATTTCTCACAATTGCCACTCATGTCCTTTTTAGCCTGCTCCTGGCTCTTTTAGCCCTAAACCTGTAATAAACCACTTCTTACTGGTTATACAGATGGTCTTCTCTGCATATGACCAATCTATTTTGGTCTATTTTCCCTCATTTTATCACCTACAGAAGTTACTCCTAGGTTACTTCAAATAGGTTCATTTCTGATCCTATCCTTTCTAGTTTTCCCACTCATCCATCTCAACATTCACATTCTGCGACACTCATTTTTCGGACATGCTTGACTACCCAACATTCTGATCCACACAACATTATTGGCCTTGTAACCATTTCATGAAATTTACCTTTAAGCCAAAGTGGTATTCTCTTATCACAAAAGACTCCAGATGCACCCTTGGATTTTGCCCATCCTGCTCTATTTCTAGAGTGACATCCTCCTCAATCTCTCCCATTTTTCTTTATCTATTCCTCAATCTCTCCCTTGTTATGGGCTATCAAACTAAGGTAATGAAAGAGATAAGATTAACATATCTCTTAGAATCCAATGCAAGTATACCCTGATTTCCACTTCCATTGTATTAATCTTATAGTGCGCATATATTGTTTTATCCTACTTATTGTAGAGAAGAGTGAACTTTTTTTGAAAACTGTGTAAAACATTTCATTAATATCAAAAGGCCAAAATAAACTAGGGCCCCGGTACAATGAGAAACTGTACAGCAGAAATGACAATAAAACTCATCAAAGATAATCCCCAATCAACCCAAAAAATCTAGTTTTGAAGGTATTTGCCCAAAAATCTAGTTTTTCATTTAACCTGTTTTTATCCTCATTGCATTTAATCCTTACTTAGTTTCATCAATTAATACTGTCATCAGCCAACAATTACAAAGGCTCCTCCTAGATATTTCTAGTGAATCCATCCATGAGTAGTGCAAACATCTAGGGCTAAATTGTTGAACTTGGTGAAATTCCATCACAACTAGAAAATCCAATGCGTCTCCCATAGTGTTATAACATTGGTTGTTGGACACTCATACATGTCCTTAATTAGGATCATGTCCCTATTTGGTGCCCCTTTTTTTCCAAAGCCCACTATATTATTTCTAAAAACTTTATAATATGCTTTCTTTAGATCAATGAATACCATAAAAAGATCTTTCTTCTTTTTTCTATGCTTTTCTTTCATTCATCTTAACAAAAAGAAAATTCCCATGGTTGATCTCCCTTGTTTAAAAAAAATATATATATTTTTTGAAATGTTTGTTTCATGCCATAACCCCTAGTCAATTAATCTCTCCCAAAGTTTAGTAGTATAGCTCATGAGCTTAATCCCATAACAGTTATTGCAATTTTTTACATTGCTTTATTTTAAATATAGGCACCATAGTGCACTTTCTCCATTCATCTGGCATCTTATTTGTTTTCCTTATCTTATTAAATAGTTCAGCAGAGCTGATAGCAGGTGAGGCATTCTTGGCCAATTCTCCCAAGTCTAAGCTGTCAGGTCTTGCAGTTTCTGGTTCATCAAGTCTTCTATGACATTCTTCTCTAAGACTACACAGTCTACACTATTGATGAATTTTTCGCCAATCTCATGACCAAAAAAAAAAAAAAAAACGCACACTTACTATGACATTATTAGCCAATTCTATTGAGCTGCTATTGGTTGAGGGAAAGGTAAAAGAAATCTTGACCAATTCTCCCAAGTCCATGCAGTTAACTGTTGGGCTTTAAGTTTCTTTCCCTATGGTTCTACTATGACATATTTTAATAAGACTATGTCAATAAATCATTACTAATCAAAAAAATGATGTCAATACATCATTTATTCCAACTGGCTCAGTTATGTGCTAATAGCGATTCCACATGCATCTCACAGTAAAGGTCAATTACTTGCATCTATAAGCCAAAAAAATCCAGATTACAGTGTTCTTAAAGCATACAGGAAAAGCTTCCCAAATCTAGCTTATTTAAGAACATTCAGTGGTAAAAATTTTCATAACAAACATTGCTTAGACACCAACTACATAAAAAACAATAGATACTAAATACATGTGTATTTAATATCATTGGCACTATTCACGCATATCCATGTGCAAAAGGAGGAAATTTCAGAGACTTGAAACACTAGTTACAGAAAATGTAGGGAAATGGGTTACCAGAAGAAAGGATCAACTCTAAAAGGCAAAATATAAGTGAGCAAGGCAGAAAGGTTATTTTGACTACAATCTCATCTGATCGCTACCAAAACACCTGATGTAGTAACAGTGAAGTAGAACAATCTAATCTCAGCCAACTTCCATCCAAAAGGCTGATGTAGTCCATGAAGTACAATCTTGGATTTGATTAAAGTAATTACCAGCAACAAATCTCACTTGCAATATCTTTTTTAAAAATAACCCAGGACTACTAAGAATACAGATTACCTGTGCTATTATCAGAAACCAAGACCTTAATTTAGGAAAAACACAGACTCAGCATAGAGAATCAGCAGATGATTGATCGTCTAACAAGCACAAGCAGGCAGATGAACTACAACCAGGATGCAATTTAAGGAATATAATAAAAGGTATTTGGATAGTTATACACTTACTTGACAATGAAACTTATCCCGCGGCTTCACTGGAGAAAAGGTCTTGCCAACGACCAAAGTCCTTCTCAATGCAATCAATAAGATGCACACAATACTTGTTGCTGTTCTTCTACAAGGGACGGGACTTGGATAGAATTCTAGTTGTCCTAATAAGTTTCCTCCACATCCCCCAGGACCACAGATTAATCCCACAAAAAACACAACCAAAATTTAAGGTGGAACAGTGTCTGCTTTATCCACAAAACTAAAGGTGGTAGTATACCGGTTACTTGTCATTCATATTTGTATGTGGATGCATCTAATGAACCTAATCAGTAGCATGCTGACTTTGCAACAGCTTCTCATGTCTAAACCACATAAACTTTTAAAATAACACCCAGACTAACAGTCAAAACCTAATACCAGTTTCTTGCAGGAGCAAAAAGGTATACTTAGGAAGGCACTTGAAGACAACATATTTACCTCTACAATGGGAAAAGGCATGTAAAACAAAAAAGAAGAAAAAAGATGGACTAGGGCTACCGATACTAGCATAATGACGCAAGTCATGTAGAACTGTTCTAATATTCTTGATCTACAAACACATGACCATTTAGTTCAAACTGGCTGACACAGAAAACAACAGAGATACTAGACAAAACCAGCTCTTTTCAACTGACTGGAAATAGAATGCTAGACAAAACCAGCTCTTTTCAACTAACCAACACAGAACGTAACAGGAGCATAAAGTATACTAAATCTACGAATAAAAATTGAATGCAGTTTGACTGATAGACATCGACTTCAAGACTGGGCCAAAACCAGATAAGCTACAAAATATCAAGATTACCAAGTCCACTTAACCCGATGGAAGTACTCTGGACTTGTGCTGCATTGCTTGAAAAGAGAACTGAAAGAACAGAAAGAGAGCTACATACAAAAACAGGACAGAAACACACAATAAATTGAATAAAGCTTTAGATATTAAATAATATATATTTAAGATTTTCTTTACTGGAATAAAAGTACATAGGTTAAGGTTTGCCTGATTAATATAAACAATTTTTCTTTGATAATTGAAAGATAAATTTATTAATCAAAGGACAAACAATTTTCATAAGATGAACATTTTCTATTATTATTGCATATTAATATTATTAACATACACATAGTAGTATTATATAATTAATTTTTATACTAAGTCTCCACATTATACTTATAGACAAATGTAACTAGCAGTATATATTAGCAGAATTTTTTGTTCAGACTCAAAATAATGATGTATTTTATTGTGGGTTCTTGTGTTCTTAAATCTTTTCAAGGCATCACACACACACACACACATATATATAATATGAACTTTAACTCGTATAAGAATCAATGGATATAGAATTATTTTACTTTTTGTTAATTTGGAAATATCAACAACTTGTATTTACTACTCATGGATTTTAGCCTCTTGACTCTATATCGCATTTTATATCACACTTATAGTAACTAGAAGGCTGGTATCAATATTATATTTCTTTATAAAATTGAGCTTCTTATTTGCCTAGTGAGAGAATCAAAAGAGATCATCTTGAGGTTAATAGTCAAAAGAGAGTTTATCCTTAGTTCTTGCCAACTATATTCACATTCTACACACATGCTCTGTTCTTTATTTACATACAAGCATGCAAATGTAGTTTGTATTATAAGCAAGCATATACCAATATGATTTTTTTTATCAGCAGAATATACCAATATGATTGCAATAGCATTTAATGTTTTTGCATGCTCATTACCTTAACCCTTACATATCATAACGAGATATTATGTTTGCAACTTTGCATACTTATGAAAAACTGAAAAATTAAGATCAAACCAATACATTTTAGAAGTAAACACCTAAAAAACTTCTTAATCTGATTATTTCAATCAATCTTTCCATTAACATCAATTCATTGAACTCGGGAGTTGTTTCATGAAAGTATAACTCATATATATGACTAAAGTATTTTTATTGGTATATATGGGACTAAGTTTTAATTTGCTGATTAGAAGCTAAAATTTCACAGTGAGCAAAGTCTCAACATATTGCAGCAAGAGAAAATTTGGGCAAACCATAGCTCCTAGAACATAGTTTTATCTCATATTCAGGAAAGGAGGTGTGAGTCCTAGGTGGACAAAGCTGGTTTCCAATAAAAAAATGGAGAAGTTAAACTAGTATAGTTAAATAGAATATCATTTTACACAACAAAGGTATGGATACCATAATTAAGGTAATAGTCAAATGAGGGTCACTGCTCAGTGTAATGATAAAATCTCCAGCTAACAAGTGCAAGAATGCAGATTGAAGACTAAGAGCTACCACTTTGTGGCTAAAGAAATGACAAAGGTTAAGTCCATATCCAGTCCACCCCACCCAAGACCCCAGATAGCTGGGACCGAAATTGGATAATGGCCTTTCTTCCACAATTCGAAATGTCTAAATTAAGGCATCCATCTATGCTAGAAACTCCTCAATCCTAATATGCACAAACACCAACTTCTATGAAAGTAATGCTCCAAATCATGGGGAATTCTTGATCGGGGCTGCCTTGGGGACCAATGGGAAGCAGGACGCAAAAAGAAGTCCCTGGACAAGTATAAGAGACAAGAATCTGAATACTGCAAAAGTGAATGTGGAAGTTATGAAACATTCTAGCAATGGCACATCTGCTTTTTATCCTAGGGTTTTTCTAAGTAGGTGCTACAGCTTCCAACAGACATACTTGCATCATTCACTGTCTGGAAATAATGAAGGCTTCCCAGGTAATGCTCTTGATTTAAATGCAACACAGAGGAGCTTCAACTAGCCAAAGCACTAACTTCAATTTCCAAGTTTCCTACACTATGAACTCCAAGTGGAAATTTTTAGGCTTTAACTTGCTTCAACCACAATAGGTACATGATAACTACATGTTGACAGCTTTTAAAGCTGAATAGTTTGCTTCTGGAAACTGAATGAGATAAGAAAGTTCTGTTCTTTAGATAACAAAAGAAATTGTTGAGCATAATTGATAAAAGAATATAATTACAACAGTCAAGAATTTTAGTTGAATCCCTTTGCACAGTAAAGCAACAAGGTGCATAAATCTGCATTAGAAAGCAGTAAAACAAGACAAGTAATGATTGCATTTGCACCATATTGGTAATATAGAAAGTCAAATAGGATTTAAATATCCAAAATAACAGCACTGATATCTGTTAAAATGTCATTCATGAGACAAACTTCCAACCCCAAGCCTAGGTATCTACTAAGTTGCAGCCTAAGGTACCAGTATTGGGTGAGCAAAATGAAGGGGCCACAACTTAGCATGACATGCACACTAAATTATCGGCGACCATGAGCACGCTGCATCTGCATGTCATATGCATTCCAAGAACCCGGTCCAGGTCCAGGTCCATACTGTGGAGCAGCTTCCACGCTACCCTGTACCTGAGATACAGATGGTAGAATTACATATTACAATAAATACTAAGGAAAGCTTACCATGGTATAAGGTATCGACTTAAAAAAATTATAAAAAAAATCCACCATGTGAAGTAATGTAGCAACTAGCAAGTAGCAACCAGGAACTTACAGGATTCATGCCATAGCCAGTAGGATAAGGATTTCCCCCATATCCAGGGTCAGGATTGCCATAGTTTCCACTATAACCTGCACCTGCAGAACCAACGCCAACCTCAGATCCATAGAATGACAACAAAAGGAAAATACCAGAGATGAACAAAGAAAACAACAAAATGGAGGCTGTAAAATGTACCGTATAACATAGTACTTGACAAATCACCAGAGAACTTAAAAATTTGACTGGAACAAAACTCAAGAATACAAGTAACAAAGCTAGGGATACATAAGACCTACAAGCCTGTGATAAGCTTAAGTTAGTCTCTAAATCAGTCCTCAATTTTCAATTGATCATAACCTTCATTTTCCTCTCTTCAACCAAGCAAAGTTCAACTTCAAACAAAAGTTACATAATACGTAAGTCTCCCAAGGGTAAAAGGGTAAGTTTCTGATTAATACCCTGGACTACTTAAAATTTTATTTCTATTTACATCTTTAAACCTAGATCTAGGAGATTTTGCACAAATATTGCTTTCAACACAATATCATGGATTCTAGAACATCCACACTTTCCCGTTATTCCTTATCATTCAAAACTTTTGAGGGGTATTACAAGGGCATTTGAATAAATCTTTTGTTAAAAATTTCCAGGATGTGTAAATCACCTTGACATAAAGTGCACTTTATGTATGTCCACGTGCATTGATACGAGACACCCTTTCTTACATGAAAAATTACATCACATCATGGCCGTCCTCCTATATCAGAGGCATGTCATAGCTTTTCTATTTTCCTCACAAATTCAATTATGAATTATCATTGCCCACAAAACAAGTAATGTTGCACTCAATATAGTTTCCACTTTGTTACACTCTTTTATGATGTAATTCATGATATGGCATTCTTTTCTTTCTTTATCTTTCTCAGGAAGGGAGACAAAACACTGAAAATTTTCATTTCTCTAATTATGAATTTATGATGCATGCAAAAAACTTTTGGTGTTCCTACGTCCAACCATACAAGTAATTCTCTTTGATAGGTTAGTAACTCATCCAAGTAGCATCCACATGTAACGGGCCACTACTTTTGCATCTTGTTATCAGGTGTTGATTAATTATAATTTGAAAGCTAATAAAAGTTCTCCTCTTCACTCTGTTACACTCTTTTACGATGTAATTCATAATATGGCATTCATTTCTTTCTTTATCTTTCTCAGGAAGGGCGAAAACACTGACAATTTTCATTTCTCTAATCATGAATTTATGATGCATGCAAAAAACTTTTGGTGTTCCTACGTCCTACCATACAAGTAATTCTCTTTGATAGGTTAGTAACTCATCCAAGTAGCATCCATATGTAACGGGCCACTACTTTTGCACCATGTTATCAGGTGTTGGTTAATTATAATTTGAAAGCTAATAAAAGTTCTCCTCTTCACTGTTTTACTATTGCACATGTGTTATGTGTATAGCCTTTTAACTAAACAGAAAAATGAAAACTAAACAAAAACTACAAAAAAAAACAAAATGATCAACTCAAAAATCACAAGTCATAGTTACTAGGATACCACCCCTCATCAAGTCCAATATGCTTTCAAGCTTTGACAACACATACCAGGGTTCCCAACAGCAGCAGCAGCGCGTGCTCTTTTTTCTGCATTTGCAATCTCTGCACGTAGCTTTTCTACCTCACGAGCCATTGAAATCAAATTCTTCTCCATTGCTTGACCTTGTTCATAATTCTCAGCGTACCCTTTCTTCTCATATTCTATGGCAGCCCTAATAGTAAACAAACACATCTACACATGTAAAGCATCAAATGCAATCCAGTTTATTGTCTGTAAAGATATAAACTAGGGCCTGGATAATACCTAGCTCGCTGTACTTCCTGTTTCATGCTCTCGATTTCAGCCTTCAAGGCAGGTACTTGTTGTATGTCAGAAGTAGCTCTAGCCAGATCTTGAGTAAGCGCTTGGACCTGACCGGTAAGCTCTTGCCTAGCACTAGTGAGCTTCTGAATATCAGCACGAACTTGCAGGAGCTCGGCCCTCATAGCCTCCGCAGCACGGAGATCAGCTTCCAATTTCATAGACTTGTCATAGGCTTCTCTGAGATGGATCTCCTTCTCAGCATTCATGGTGCCAGCAACATGAGCCATACGTTGCAGCTCATGCTGGGCAGCTGCCAGTTCCTGCTTTAACGCAACATGGGTGGCAGCCAATCTCTGGTTATCGACCAGAAGCCCTTGAATTTCCTGATGTTGAGCTGCGAGTCTCTCTTCGATTATGGCGGGGTGAGGCGGCAAAGGCCTCGGACCCCGACCGAACTGAGCTTCCATCATTTCCTCCAGAAGCGCTGGATGAGGAATCGGACCGAGACCTCTAGCGAATGGAGGTTCGTGAACCGGGGGAAGACCACCATGTGGTGCACCCTTGATTGGAAGCGGAGGTCCACGATTTCTTCCCGACATAATAATCTCTTTTACTCCGTTCAGAAGGTTGAGATTATGAAGAACCTGCTGTAATCCAACAAAATTCATGAAGATTAAAATATAATCAACACATAAACAAAAAAAATAAAAGAAAAATCTATTCTCGATGAAGATTAAACCCTAGACAATGAAGAATCTTAAGACGACAGAAGCAGTTGATCTAACGTAATGGTCTCGGAATGAATCCTAGCCCCTAGGCAGGGTAAAACATGGCGATCAATCGCTACAATCATTAATAGATGGAACCTAGCGAGAGAAAGAGATTTGTTGATAGATACGAACCTGTTAATCCTGCGAATTTGGTAACGGGACACCTCTGCAACCGGCGGGAAGAGAAGAAAAATGGACGAAAATCGACAAAACCCTAGAACGGAGTCGTCGAACCCGGGTGGTGGGAAATATCTTGGGTCTGCAGAAGCAGGATTCTGGATTCGTACTTTCGTAAATGGGAGCTGCTCAAGGTTCGGTGCGGTTTGGGCCAACGCGAATCCGGTTCAACCAAGCTTAAACAGTTAAACCTCGCACTGTCTGGAAAGGACCGGCAGCAATGTTGGGCGGTGAGGTGACGACAGACGGGATATTTTTTGGGTTATGTCTAGTTTATCCAATTGTAATGTGTAATTCAAGTTGCATTTCAATTTAGGCTGCGTTTGGTTGCAGTATAATCTTCTTTGCATTAATACAAATACATGAGAGTATTTTTTGGGACCGATTTTTAAGAAAAAACGCTCATGCTTCCAAGATCTATTTCTCACAAAAAAACGCTTCTGCCACATAGGCAGTGAGCAACATTATGCTATTTGGTAAGGTGATTTTCATCACCGTTTTTCATGTATGTGCTAACAGTAAGCACCACAAAGGATGCACATCAGTCAACCATTGGGGGGAAACGGTTCACCGATGTATGAAACGCCAAATTTTTTAGACATACCCGATTTTTAATAATCGATTTCACCAAACAATGAGATACATGGGTGTTTTTTGAAACGCCTATATGGATCCGATGTGGCACCGTTTTTTTGAAAAACAACCATGGTTCCAAACATCCCCAAAAAGAATGTAAATTCTGATTTAATTTTCTTTTGGGTTTTACTGGATTCTGTTCTAGGTCTTATTTTACTTCATTTGCACTGCAATCTAACAAAATAAGGTAAATTTGAAACAAAAATAAATCAAAATTTACACACAAATCATTTGCACTATCGGTTCAGTTTGGAAGGAATACAAATACAAATCTGTAGAGTGCAAAATCTTGCATTTTGTTTATTTTGTATACATTTGTGCTGTATATATTTGTATTTATACTCTTTCTAAACTGAGCCGCCATAATTTTGCATTAATGCAAATTTATTTGCAACCAAATGCAGCTTTAAGGTTCAGTTTGGAAAAAGTACAATCACAAATATGTATGGTATAGAGATATATACAAAATAATACAAAATACAAGATTTTACACTATAGTTGTATTTGTACTCCTTCCAAACTGAGTCTTAGTGAGAGCTGCCAATTTCCTCTACTCTAGATAAATTTGTATTACACTTTGCCAAAGGAGCAACTTTATCCCAACTTTGCCAAAGGAGCTAGCATTTCCATTTTAAACTATGAATTGCTCAAAATATGTGGAATATAATTTCTTACTTTTTCCAAGAGCTGACCATGTTGCACATCATCATTTAGCTATTGCAATTCTTTTCYTGATAATTGGTCACATGTACAGGACAAAATGGGCAAGGATGCAATTAAACACGAGTTCACATCTCCGCCCCACAGCACATCCCCGCCCTGTACTGAGAATATCTCTCGATGATAGTACAAGAACTAATAATGTATCATCACGAGATGCTCTCAATTCACAGCGGAAATGTATTGTGGGGCGGAGATGTGAACTCTGCAAACACACACAAACTCCAAGCACAAGAATAATGGAGAAATTTTTTGTAGAAAAGAAAGATGGTTCTCTGTTAAATTTAATCTCTTTAATACAATTTGTCAAAATTCCTAATTCCTTTTATAACAATAAGACATCATAAATTAAAGGCATATTCTAACAAGATAACTTAGCATAGACTACTATTTCCCAACAACCTCCCTTAAATCGGAATCTTCAAACGTAACCATTCCAACATCTTTCTTTAGCTCGTCAAACCTACCAACTTTTGATGGCTTTGTAAAAATATATTCTGCTTTTTTTTTATGGTCAAGAAAAAATACCTGATCTAATGACTGGATGTGCTTTTCCTCTTCTCAATGACTCCTGCTCAATCACTATGTATCATACTTCATACCCAATTCAGATTTCTCAGTAGTAGAGTGGAAAATACCACTATCTTGTGTACCTTTTATATATTATAAAATTCATTTCGGAGCTTTTCAAGTGTCATTGGTTTGGAGATTCCATAAATATGTTTATAATCCCAATTCCATATACAATATATGGTCTAGTAGAAACCTTTTAAAGTATACAAGATTTAACTAACTTCATTCTTTTTTCAATCGGTGTCCGAATTGGATTACAAGTTTCCATATTCAATTGCTTTAAAATGTCATTAACATATTTTTTTATGAGATAGATATSTCTTTAATTAGCTTTTCTCTTATAAAATCCAGTTTTGAATTTGTTCCACATTGAAAAATTATAATCTTTGTTTTCAGTATTTTAATAGGAGTTGATTTACACTCCTTAGAAATAGTAGAAGAGAGTATGGTGGTTTGATATCGTGCATGCGTGTGCGTGCGTGTGTGCAGTGCAATGAAGCGCTTTAGAAGCACACTTTGCTCACACCTGCATGGCTCGCGAAGGGTGGCTTTGGTTTTGATGTGATACTGATTTATCAACGGTCATGATTTGATCAAGTGTGATTAAGAGACACAATTCAAAGTTAACAATCATTAACCGTTAACTACTTTTTAAACAGTCACAATGTTTGAAATCATTGTGACTGTTCAAGGTGTCTTCTCTGAACCAACACCTACATTTTCTTCATACCTCTTCATAAATTATTTAAGGAGCATGAATCAGACTTTAAAAACACACATTTTTGAAATCCACTTTCTCTCTCTCTCTCAGTCCAGTCTTCTATAGTCTCATAGAAGGTTTCTTCGGAGATTCTTCAACTTTGCTAGTTGTAGATTCTCGCCCAAGGCTCTATTGTATCCTAAAAACGGATTTGCCTGTAACCCAACAGCAAACTTAGTGAAACTGAGTGGGGACAAATAACGTTATAAAGACAGTGTCTTCAGACACGCCTCAAAGCTTCTCCTCCAAAGTTATAGTGACCCCATTTTCCAACACCTATAGTAAAGATCAAGTCATTTACACATAGGCATATAACGAGCACAACACCTTGTTCATTTGTCTTAACATACAGAGTATATTCATATGGACATATTTGAAATCCATGCTTCTGAAAATAACTATCAATACGAGTATACCAAGCCCTTGGTTCTTATTTCAACCCATACCATATAATGCTCTTTTCAGCCTATAGACTTGACTTTTCTTTCATTTCCGTTACATAACCTACAGGTTGCTCAATGTACACGTCTTCAAGTTCACCATTCAAAAAGTAGATTTTACATCCATTTGATATATATCCAAATTATTTTGTGCAATAATCATACAAATAGGATAAAGTCTAGCAACAGATCGATGTAGGCATTTCAAAATAATCAATATTAGGCTTTTGTTTATGACTTTTGGCAACTAACTTGGCTTTTAGATAACCCACCTCTCCGCTTGGCTTGTATTTGGTTTTGTACACCCACTCAATACCAATTGTCTACCTATCTCTTAGAAGAGTAGTAAATTCCCACGTGTCATTCTTTTCAATTGCATGGATTTCATCATCCATGGCTTTAATCCACTTGTCATCACAAGATGCCTCCTTAAAAGAGATAGGACCACAGCTTGTAAATAAGGCAGACTTTATCATGTCTTCATTTGGAATATCATCATATGTAACAGCATATAATCTGTGAGTGAGTGAGCAAACATTGACACATTGATGTTAAGGACATTTCGATGGTTCTTCTTGTGTTAGCAATGTATTTAATTTGATGGTGGAAAGGTATTAGTAGTTGGCAGCATACTCGGTTCTTCAATTTGTTTTTCTTCATCATTCAAAAACAAACCTTGCTGCCTTTCTTCCTTTTGGGTCCAATCCCAATCAACTCCCTGTTCATCAAATGTAACATCTCAACTAGTAAAAGTTTTTCCTGTATGTGGTATGTGATTATACAACTTGTAATCTTTTGTCAAATTGCTATACCCAATAAAGACATATTTATTGCCTTTAGGCTGAGTTTGGAAGAAGTAGAAATGCAAATATATAGAATGCAAAACTTTATATTTTGTATGTATTTACGCAGTATATATTTGCATTTGTATCTTTCCAAACTGAACCTTACTATCAAGCTTCTTAATTTCTAAGTTCATGTCGCACATGTGCATATGAAATGCACCCAAACATCCTAAACTGTCCTACTTTAGGATTATGGCCACCCCATTCTTCTTGCAGAGTCATGTTGTGAACAATATTTTGTGGGGCACCTTTCAACAAGTAAATAGCTATAGAGTTTGTTTTGTAGCTGGTTTCTCTTCCTTTTTTTGGTACTATGAGTAGTCTCAACGCAAAAGCCTCGGCTCTCTCAAAGAAGGTTTGGCCTTAGCAACTTCTTTGGGGTCGTCAAAACTCTAAACTTATTCGGGTTCTTAGCTGCTTATTCGGATTCTGAAAGGGGACTCTCACCCTCCCCATTACCTTTGGTATTGGTAGTGTGCTATAGAGGATCGATCACTTGTGATTTTTTTATGTTGAACCTTCAGAGAAGGAAAACGGATTACTAATGCATTGGCTAATGTTGCTTGCAACTCCTTGTCATCAACCATTTACAGTTCTGTGTAGATATGTTTCCTATGCATATCAGATCCATAGACAGACTTGGCTTACCTTATATTCAAGTTTCTTAGTCTCTTGTTTCTTGTTTCCTATGGTCCTAAACATTTTTTAGGTCCCCATCGTAGGTGATTTATTTTTTGCATTAATAAAATTATGGTGTCCACCCTTTCCCTGGAAGTAAATTTTAGGGCTTAAAAAATTCTTGCTTTCTCATCATAATGCAAGCTTCACATACTTTATTAGAAAATTTAATCATAAGTAATCCAAATACCATGTACTTTTTTACCAATAATTGCAAACTTATTAAAATTTTAGTGCCCATAATGCATGTGCTATAGCCAACCAACACAACCCATCATAAAATTAAAGCAAAAGGAGTTGTCACATTGAACATGTAAAGGAAATAGATGGTTTGGAGACATCTTTACATTTGCAATTAGTTCCTTTCTGATCATCATTGATGCTGCAAGATCCATTGCTTATTTATATGTCATATCCTCTCTCTCTTCGAAAGTTGCCCTAAAGTCAAGAGA